AGGGGACATGCAATGGCTGTCCCTTCAATGCCTCCCTTCACAGGATGCATTTGCTTGTTTCCTTACTTCTTCCAATTTTTGCCTCAGGAACTTATTCAGTTTAGTAGTCCCAAGCAGGTAAAGATTGTTTTGCATGCACATATTTTATCAACTTGTGGCAATCAATGAGTGATTTTTAGCTTCTGCCTGTTCAAACTGGCTTCCTGGGACTGCCTATTGGTTTGGGGGGTTTTACAAAATAAACAATGGTTTATTTAGAAATAGTAATTGGGTTAGTAGGGAAGTTTCCCTGAAGGATAACAGAGGTCAAAGACTATAGGCACTTTACGTTTTCCAAGATCCAGGTTTGGGCATTTGTAGAAGTTCAGAGCTGATGACACAGAGCCTCTGTTTAGAACTTAAGGAACTCTTATTATGGCATTCTAATCTTAATTAACAAAAACTAGGTTTCAACTTCATTGTATCTTATTCAAGGCAATACTACTTCATTTGGTCCTTTCTAACAATGCCTTCTTGGGTCTTTTAACCTGGTGAAGAAATTTATCTTGCTAAACAATTTGAGAACCACAGAGCTTACCTACTCCCTAGCCTTGACATTCTGTTCTTGTCATGGTTGACTGTGTCCTCCTGTTTCCAGTTTCCAGATGGCAATTTGGCTTTTGACAGAAACAAAGTAACTTGATAGGCAAAAGAAAGTCAGTTCCCACAAGCTACCAACCCTGTTCTGGTGCCAAAGTATTATAAACTTCGTGTTGACAAGCCATAATATCTGCGAGAGTAATTCCAGACTTGATCTAAGATGTGTTCATAATAATAATAATAATTTATTATTGGAAAGCAGCTTCACAATATCATCCTCCACTTCAGAAATAAATCCTCCTCATCTCCACTGGTATACACACATTGAAACTCTCCCCTTCTCATACCCTCAGACCTTGGGTATCAGCTAAAAAAGAGATTACTTCATTTCTGCCATCTCTTTTTCCCTTAAAGAACTCAAACAACCACTCTTCCAAAGAGCCAGGTTGTAGACAAAGTTTTTGCTTTCTTTTTCAATGAACATTCCACATACTTATGCCCCTGCCATATCACATGGGTATACGTTTATGTTCCTTTAATAATTTTAACATTGTAGCCCCTTGAATTATTTTTTTCATTATTACAACTTTATACTAGGTTTTCAAACCTAAATAGCAGGTAGTTCCCTCTTCACTACTCTTCTTTTTCAGAATTCCCAGGCTATTTTTGCTTGCTTATTAAAAAAAATGATAGACCATTTTTTAAGCAGTTTTAGGTTTATAGAAAAATTGAGTGGAAAGTAAAAAATGTACCCATACATACCCTCCCACTCCCTCCCAGTTTCCCCTGCTTGGGGCTACTAAACTAAACTGAGCATGGTCCTGAGACAATTATTATTATTATTATTAACATTTGTGCATTTTATTATCTTGCATTTGTGCAGTGCATTTGTTACAATTGGTGAGCCGATATTGATTTTTTATTATTAACTAAAATCTACCATTTACATCAACGTTCATTCTTGGTTTTGTACATTCTATGGGTTTTGACAAATGTATAATGACATGTAGCCACCATTACAGTATCATATAGAGTACTTTCACTGCCCTAAAAATCCCCTATTCTCCACCTATTTTCTCTTCTCAACTGCCCTTGAACTTCTGGCAGCCACTGAGCTTTTTTACTGTCCCTATAGGCTTGCCTTTTCCAGAATGTTATGTAGTTGAATTGATATAGTATGTAACCTTTTCAGATTGACTTCTTTTACTTAGCAATATGCATTTAAAACTCCTCCATGTCTTTCTGTGGTTTTATATTGCATTTATTTTTATTGCTGGATAACATTCCATTGTCTGGATGTACCACAGTCTGTTTACCTATTCACCTACTGAAGGACATCTTGGTTGCTTCCAAGTGTTGGCAATTATGAATAAAACTGCTGTAAACATTCACGTGCAGGCTTTTGTGTGGACATAACTTTTCAATGCATTTGGATAAATAGCAAAGATTTCAATTGCTAGATCATTTGGTAGACATATGTTTGATTTTGTAAGAAACCGCCAAACTGCCTTCCAAACTAGTTGTACCATTTTGCATTCCTACTAGCAATGAAAGAGAATTCATGTTGCTCCATATCCTTGCCAGCATTTGGTATTGTCACTGTATTGGGTTTTAGCTATTCTAATACATGTGTAGTGGTATTTAATTGTTGATTTATAATGTATTAATAATTTTTAAAAGTTATTTTTCTAGTTGTTGCTCTGGGGCTTATACATCTTATCAAAATCTATTTCAGATTTTTATTAATTTATAGTGAGATATAGAAAACTTATTCCTATATATCTCTATTGTCTCTAAGGGTCCCCTGAGTGGTAGACCTTAGTTGGGGTCCCCTGAGTTGAAGGAGGTTACTGATTTTTTGGGAGCAGTCTCTGAATAACCAAGCAGGATGATTTGCTGAGTTTCCTCAGCAAATGGGATGTGGTCTACAGGCAGATAAAGTAGGAACTTGAACAAAGATAATCATTTCTCCTTCTTGCTCATAATAATATCATTAAAGAGCTTATCAAATGCCTAAGCTAAAATCTGAGTCCTCCTGGGGTATCATATTCACAAGTTATAAACTGGGAAATTTTAGTTTACTAGCCTATGACTTGCAATGCCTGAAAAATGGGTTCTTTAAGGGTACGTGCTTCTCAGAACAGGCCAAGAGAATGTACTCGTGTAAATATCTTACAGTCTGAGCTGCAAAGCTTTAATCTGCAAATGGAGGGAAGGGAAAAGTAGCCAACCAAAAACTGTAAAATGAGCTGGTACAGGGAACATTATATATGACAAAATAAGAAAGGTAAAGAACGCATTTAATAATTTTGACAGAGCAGAATAAATTGGGAAAAGGGCAGAGATAATGGGTGTAGATTCATTTGTACAGATTTGGAGCAGTTAAAATTTGGAATTTAAGTCTTTAGCAGAAAGGAGTAAATAGGACTGCCTAGGTATTATGAAGACTTAGTGTGGAGGAATATATGGATAGAGGCAAAAGGGTTAGGATACAAAAAAACAAATGCCATTAGTGAGAAATATACTTTAGGCCACCTGGCCAGAGAGCAGAAAGGAACAATATATTCGTTTTTTTTTTTTTGAGACGGAGTTTCGCTCTCATTACACAGGCTGGAGTGCAATGGCACAATCTCGGTTCACCACAACCTCCGCCTCCTGGGTTCAAGCAATTCTCCTGCCTCAGCCTCCCCAGTAGCTGGGATTACAGGCGTGCACCACCATGCCCAGCTAATTTTTGTATTTTTAGTAGAGATGGGGTTTCACCATGTTGACCAGGATGCTCTCGATCTCTTGACCTCGTGATCCACCCACCTCAGCCTCCCACAGTGCTAGGATTATAGGCGTGAGCCACTGAGCCCAGCCCCAATATATTCTTAATGTTTAGAAAAGTTGTTTTCTCTTGGATGACTCAATTTCAACAATTTAAATATAATTTCTTAGTCTCTTTCTGCAATCTCCCTACTTCCCACAAGGTCTTATTGTTCTCTTTGTTCTGACTTCTCAGCACCATTCTTTTGCATCGCAAAGGTGTCACAATAACCATGAAACTCCCACAAGTAATGAAGAAGGCTCAGATAAATTGTGATTGCTTATGAACTGACTTTTTCCAGTTGAGATAAAGAGGCTCTGTCCACTAGTACTATCCAATTGGTTAGAGAATTGAAGAGTGTATAAATGTATGAGTATGTGTACGTGTGTGTGTGTGTGTGTGTGTGTGTGTGTGTGTGTGTGTGTGTGTATTTGGGAGAACAGGAATGGCAAATAATTGTTTAGATCAGGGAACTAAATTCAAATTCCTGCTGTCAGGCATGCCATCTGAAGGGAGCAGCTGCTACTCAGTTTCTGCATATCATTGCCATGTGATAATGTAAATTCAATGTTACCAGATGTTCTAATTTAAAAAAAAAAAAAAAAAGAAACAGGAAACCTGCATTTTTATATGAAATCTTCTACCTTTTAAGTATTACCAACTAATTTAAAACTTTGAAAAACGCTAGGTAGGCCAAACAAAACACTTCTCCAGCCACCCAATGGTGAATGCTAATTTAAATGATAGATAAAATGCATGGTAGAGCCTTGATCCTGTGATTTTTAAACTCAGTCTGGCCCTTTGTCCATTAAGTACGGGTTTGGTTCCTGCTTGGTGGAGTTGAGTACTTCTCCCAAATGGCAGTCTTGCATGTTGGTTTGTATTCTATAACTTAAGTGAGAACTTCTTCAATGATGAAAATTGTAAGTAGACTATATGCTTGGTTGGGATCAGTGTGTTCAGCAGGTAACTGAAAAATCAGTAGTTAGACTATGAGATGTAAAGAAAGTAATCAGAAGGTAGTTTTCTTGTGGTGTCCTTTTTATGTGCTTGCTCCTTCATGAGATCATGAGTCCATTGAAGACAAACCATGGTAAGGACTTTGGATTTGGCTCTAAAAGTGTTGAGAAGATATTGGAGGCTTGTGAACAAGGAAGGAACATGATCCAACTTAATATTCTAAAAGGAACACTCTAAAAGAGCTGACAGAAAAGCCCTGTCTAGAGCTACAATCTGGAGACTTCCTGAAAATCTGCCTTTACAGGCTTTTTCCTCTACCATACATTCTTTCCTAGAAATGCTGGTCTTACCTTTATGTGTTCGTGTCCTTGCCCTCTATCCTCTACTGCAAATAGAGATGTTCTCCATGGTTTTTGGGCCATGTAGCCTGATAAATGTGAAGCCTATATCATCCTGAATGAGTAATCCAAGGGCAACCAATGTCTCCTCTGATTGAACGAGCTTCACTGTGTTCTCACCTGGCCTTCAGGCCATTTCTCAGATCTGTGACAAGATAGAGCCTTCTAGATACCTGCTTTTTCCATCTGAGAGAACAAGTGGTATGACCTTATGAATTGATCTCATTGCTCAACACCATCCTTTTGTCTTTCAGAAAATATTGAAGGAAGGACCTCTTCTGAAGAACTGTAACTCTTTGAAGAGATGGAAGCCTAGATATTTTCTGATTCAAGGACAGAAGCTCTACTTTGCACACCATCCAGCGGTAATATATAGCATCTTGTCAAAAGGATTAATGGGTGGGTGCCAGGAAACGTTTGTGTGGAAAGATGGACTAACAAGTAAAGACATGTCAGCAAACATTAGGGTGGAAGTCAAAGCCCTCTCCTCTTTTTATAGCTTGGCCTTTTGGGTCAAATGGGGATACTTTTCTCTCCTTTCCCTTTTCTGTATCCCTTTCTTTTTGTATTTTTCCCAGCTAGCTTCTGCACCCAGAACCAAGTATAATTTTGGGGATCCAGTGCAAAATGAAAATGTAGTACTCCTTATTAAAAAAAGCAGGGGGAAGTTCTAGTAAAGCTACTAACATATAACGCTTTATGTTTATACTAAAATGTTAATATAAAGCAATGATGTCATGGTGTTTTTATTTGCTTTTTAATGTAATTCTAAGTAAAGAAAAATAAAATTTTAGATAATTAGCATGAATTTTACTATTCATCTGCACACAGTACAACACCAGTTTTAAATGCAAATATAAGAGCATTTAATTCATATAAAGATTCACTAAAATTATACAATTTGTGTTTAGTAGCTCATACAAGTTTATGTATTTTGCTCTCAGCAGTACACAGAACTGCACAAAACTAGCTCAACGGTTCATATTTCACTTCTTGATACTTGTACATTCTACCAACACTTTTCTAACTGAAAGAACTATGAGTTGCCTTATCTTTCCATTTCCTTCCATGTCATCATTTTTAGCAGAAATGGTTGGCTAACACAGGGGTGTAACAAGCAAGAAAGAATACAATAGGGCTTCTTAGTTGTTCGTATTTCTTAGAAACCATTTTTTTTTTCTATGTCTGAAGCAAGTTCTGGTTCCAACAGAAAGTATGACCTCTCAGGGCTGTCGGCTCCCCTACTGCTTACTCAATAATAGATGTAACACACTTATCTTGAACTTGCTTTGAGTCTTGCTAAACTCCCACTTTTCATGGTTCCACTAGAATTCTATGTTCATGGGCATCACAAATCCAAATGGAGTGACAAGACATGGGGTGGAAATGTATATTGCGCCTATCTCCTCTGCTCATATGCATGATCTTTTGTCCCATTGGACTTCACTTACAAAACACATGCTCAAAGACAAAATTATGAAGTAATTTTAAGATGACAACAGCAAAGCATTAAACTAAGTGTGGAGCCCTTCTGAACACGGGGCCCTGTGTGACTGTACAGTTTGTTTACCAGTGAAACTGGCCTTGCCTGTATCCATGATACTGATTTCCTGCTGCTGGCTAGGTGGTATTTACTGTGGCCAGTGAATAAGGAGACACAGGCCTCAAACTGGATGGGACTAGCAACGCTGTCAAAGGCTCCCACCCAATAAAATGGGAGCTAATCACAATCTGTTCCACTAGGATTCTAGTTAAACCACATCCCATTATCTTTTCCAGCGTAAGCCTTTATGTTTAAATAATTCTGAACTCACCAACTCAAGCCTTCCTATAACTCCACATAAATGTCTATAAAAATTTATTTTGATTTCATTTTGTTTTTGTCACATGATGTATTAACAAAAATCATGTTGCTAAATAAATTTTAGCCCTCAAGTCAAAGAAATGATTGGATCATGATTGCCACAAATGCCCGTCAGTGAGTGTGTGTATGTATGTGTGTTTACCTTTTAATGTCTCTTTGCATAATTAACCAGATGGTTTCTCGTGCCTCTCCCTCTTATATCTTTCTAGTTTGCACACTTTGACACGATTGATCTGTCTGAAGCCGTCGTGGCAGAAAGCAGCTGTAGAAACCTTTGCCACAGTTTTTGCGTAAGTATGATTGGGAATGACTGAATGGGCAGGGGTATGGGCTAGCTGGGAAGATAGCTTCCCATAACCACTTTTTGCTTCTTTGAACTTCAGGTTTCCAAGGTTTCCTTTGATCTCAAATTGTTATCATTCATGCAAACATTTTCTAGCAGCCCACTGATAGTGAAGAAAAAAAGTGATGGTCTTGTTCCTTATTACCAGTATAAAGCTAAGCTGACTTAAAGGAGAAGGGAGTATGTGACTTATAAAAATCAGTCCTCCTAGTGAAGGTGATTTAGAAGAGGATCACTGGGAGTCTTTCAAGAGATTGCTAATATGTTATAGAAAATGGCAGGATAATTGAGTTACATGACATCCTCTCCTCTGATGTGGTAGATAAGAGCCCTAATCCAAAGTGAAATCTACCCCATGTTGAGATAACTAACAAAAGTGCCCCAAAGAAAGCAGAGGATTTTCTAAGGAAGTATCTGAGGGCTTAGTGTGGCTGAAATGTCATATGGCTTTGGTCATTCAACTGAATCCAGACCAGAAAACTCACTGAAAAATAGAAAGCTTGGGGGCCCAGGAATTCTTCTACCCAACTCTTCCAAGAACTGTCTTCTCCCAGCCTCAGTGGTGAGTTATCGAGCCTGGAGCTCCTGTTTAGGCAGGTAGGGGATAGTACCTAACAGACTAAAGAGCTGTAGACCCAATGTCCTGCTTCCGTGGTGGGTTCATGTTCCATCTTCTCGAGAAAGGAGAGTGGCTGGATCTAAGAAAAAGACTTTGCTTTTGTTATTCTCTCATTACATCACCCTGACACAGGGTAAAGCTGAGGGCTCTATTGACCAGTCCCAAAAAGCTGAGCCTTTGGGTGATGAGCGTATAGGCTAATGTTATTGGTCTGCATTCTACAAAGAAAGAAATCTAAGGGCTAGGCTGCCCCTTAACCCAATTAAAGCGCAGAAGCACTGAACATCAGCCCCACTCAAGAATGGGTTTGGACCAAAGGAGTGGCTGTTACCACAATCCCAACTAGCTCGTAGTTCCATCTACCACATAATCACATTGTGCTACATAGAAAAGGAGAAACAAATTCCTTGTTGGTGTGGTGAGCTCTAGCTTCAAGACTTGGGGAGCTTGTAGTAAAGGCAATTAGGCAATGGAAGCAGTGACTGATGCAGTAGCTATCCATGATCCCTCCTGCCCTCTGGAAAAAGATCAAGTCCTGCCCATGGTCTACATCTGCTAGACTCTCCCTGTGGCATTCTTATTATTCCTGCCTGGGTTCTTGTGCCAAGCAGGATTAAGAAAGACAACTGTAAAATTATCTTCAGGTTATCCCTAACCATAAGAAAGAAAGAAACTGGATGTTTAAACATCTCACTCTCCCACTAAACAGGGACTCCCTAATGAACCATATACAATTTTACCACTTCAAGTAGACAGAGTCACAGTAAGCAAGTGGGGTTTTCAGGCAAACTAACTTGAGTAATAGATGGTACATGGTTTAGCATTTAACAGAATGAATTCTGAAGCTAAAGAATCTGGATTTCAATTCTAGTGTAGTTTCTTGCCTGCTGGGTGACCGTAGGCAAATCATTGAACTCTCTTTGCCTTGGTTTTCTGGGCTATGAAATGGGAAAAAATAATAATGCCCATCTCACAGGGTTGTAATAAATATTGAATGAAATAATACACATAACGTGCTTTAGAATAGTTCCTGGCACATAGCAAGTGGCATTGAAACGTTAGTTATTGCTATTAGCACTATTACTATTTTGGATGGGTATCTAAGGAGCTACGAGTGGCTTTGGCAATGTCTGTTTTATATTCAAGAAATGGCTTGCATTGTGCTTGGTACGTCTGTCTAGTTTCTGAGAGCATTCACAGACTCTGTTTGGAGGCAAAGTTATGGAGTGAGAACAGCTAATATTGTGTCTTTTTGTTTAGGTTATCACACCACAACGAAAAGTCACTGTGGCTGCATCCAACCGGAAAGACATGGAAGAATGGATTAACGTCATAAAAACTGTCCAACAGGGAGAAATTCATAAGGTAAGGAAACTAGTAAAGAAGCCACACAATTCTTAATAAGTAAATAATTAATTGCATTACTTAAGCCACCTTTACAGCAGGGAAATAAGATGGAAACAGAGACCACCTGGTTAGGAATTATAGACAGAAAACCTCTTTAGAATTATTCATAAATAGGAGTAATTAACTTGGACTCAGACCTTTGTAAGTATGTGGTGCAGACGCCTCTATACATATCTACTTGATATGTAGATGTCAATCTATCCTCAATGGATGAGGTTCTCAAGATGTAGGTGAGCAGCTAATGTAGATGCCCTTAGGTTATGAAAGCCACAATCAAGCAGTCTTAACTTGGGTCTGCTGAATGACCATAGTAACAGCTAAAGAAACTGAGCCTCAGAAAGAGGCGGAATCACTATTCAGCAGGGAAACCAGGATTCAAGCACTTGACCACTATACTATTTGCCTTTCTGTTTTCTGTCTACTACAAAAGTAATGCAGAGGGAAGAGCAACAAGTAGTCCTCTCCAAAGCTTAGCAGGGTTCTTTTTTACCTGACAGTACCAAATCTCCGGCCACTGCTCCCTGAAGTAACTGGTGCAATCAAACGCCAGGAGAAACACTCTGACTGCTCTTCTATAGATCTACCATAGTTAGAAGTTATGTAAATTCCAAGAGGAGAGAGATCTGTGTCATTTATTTACTTAGATCAGTCTCTGGCACATAGTAAAGGCACAATAAATATTTTTTTAATGAATAAATGAATCTGCAGGAAATCTTGGAACCAGGGTTTGAACAGAGAATGATACATACTTCATTCTGAAGTAAAGTTCTGCTGTAAAGGTCTTAGAGATAAAGAAGAAGGTGAATCCAGACTTTAAAATAACCTGATGTCTTAAATAACTAGCAATGGGTAGAAGATTGTTCTAGGCAATTGGGATGGAGCAGTGTGTGAAGTGGCTTGGTGATAATGAGGTTTAGAAATAAAACTAATGCCATAGAGAAGAACCATCCATCCCTACTCCCCGAACACTTCTCAGGCTTTTGACCACTTCATCTCATAACTATACATTCTGCTCCCTATAGCAATTATGGGAAACATGACAAGATGGCTGACTTGAGGCCTCTCCAAATATCATTAAGGCCTCTCCAAGTTCCACATTATATATGCTTAAATTGAGAGATCCTTTGCTCAGCATCTGATGGTGATCTTTATATGCTTTAGCACTCAGAATTTTACCTCTTTGTTATTTCCTTCTTCCTTTTTACCTTTCCATAGAACAGAGATTAATTATTTTACCTGTCATTTTCTTCTTCCTTTCCTAATGGAGAAGCACATCCCCTCTTCACCCCCTGCCCCCACTAATGAGGCCACTATGGTACAGCATTAGAGGCAGTCATAAAAAGTTATGAATTCCATGCTCCTTTCCTATTTTCATCCCTGTGGACCAATATCTTTCCTTCCTGTGACTTACCTCTATTCAAACTGGAGTGTTTCTCATGAATCATAGAACATTTACATTTTGGCATAAAAGGTCACATAGGATATTTTGAATTTTAATTATTGCTCTAGGAACGCAAAAACTGCTAGAGAAATTCTGATGACTATCAGAGAATTGGTGCACCATTCCTGAATTCATTGAATTAAACACCTAGGTATCGATTACCCAGCACAAACTAGAAAGGAAAAAAATCTCCCTGTTTACTCTCTTGGAGGAGTTGTATCAGGTTGTAATCACAACCTCTGTGGAGCTTCTCCAGGGACCTAAATCTATTAAGGAACACTTTTATCTGATAGTGAAATGTCTCACCCCCAGCATCTTAGCAATTCATCTTACTTGAAGTTTAAATAGTCAAATATGCTTTCTCCCATATGTACCTTATCTCTAATGGTCCTTTCTGTCCTCTGTCACCACCAGTGCCTGACAAATAGGGTGAGGGAAGATTAATCATGGATTTAGTAGTCTATTAAAGTGGTGACAAAGTAATTGGATAATCTATGGGAAACTAGTCAGTACACATTAATAAGCTGCCCCCTACTAGGTGCCCAGTTCTGTTTCACAAAGAGTAGGAAAAAAAGATGCAATACTTACTCCCAGCCTCAATGAGCTTTGTAGGTAATGGGGAGAACCTATATACACAAAAGAAACAGTTAAATAACAGTACCCAAGATAAATGCCAGTTTTCAGAGATGTTACAAGGCAATATATGATTGATTGCCAGATGAATGAAACAGACAATAAAGTGGTATGGGAGTTCAGAGGAGGAAGAGATAAGTATGGGCTGGAGTCCTCTGGGAAGAGTTAACAGAGGAGAGATTTGAGACTGACCCTGAAAGATAGATTGTATTTTTATTGGTGGCAGGGAATTAGGGGCAGTGGGAGGTCCTGAACGATGGAACTGGCATAAGTAAAAGCTGAATAACAGGAAAACAGAACCTTTTTGGAATACAGTGAAAGGGAGAATTCATTTCACCAGAACCGTTTAGGAAAGTGAGTCCAAGGCGTATGTTTTGAGACGGAGATTGGGTCTGACTTTGGAGCTTTTGCAATGCCAGGATAAAGAGTGGGGAAGATTAGCAATGTGTTCAAAGTTCAGCTTAAGGATAGATTCAAAAGGGAAGAGAATTGATAAGAGGGATACTTTAGGAATACAGGATGGATTAGTCAAGGGAAAAACTAGAGGCCAGAAGTTCAAAGAAGAGGCTATAGATTAATTATGGCAAGACAATGTTAAGCCCCAGAATGGGGCTAGAAAGAAAAAATAAATGTGGATACTGAGTTAGGGGTGAAGGAGAACCTAAATATAAGAAAGAGGCAAATGATATAGGAAAGTCATAGACAGATGAAAGGTGTGAGCCTGGGAGATTTAGAGAAAGAATAGAAAGGAGAAAATTAGAAATAAGAAGCTGCTTAGAAAACTACATTAAGTGGTTAGCTCTTCCTAATGAATTTTCATGGAATCATAGACTATGGAAACAGAAATAGACCTTAAAAGTTATCTGGACTCCAGATACTACATTCTAGAGCACCTGGAGATGTAAGTTATATGGCCTTTATTTGAACTCTTCCAAAGGTAGGGAACTAAGTTCCTCGCAAAAAAAAGTCCATCTAGTGTTCCTAAAGCTCTAAATCTTGGAAAATTTTTTCTGAAACTTTGGCCTAGTTGAAGAAATAACTTTCTAACATTCACTGTAAGCTGCAGGAATGGCATCAGCTGCCTCTTGAGGTAGAGAACTCCCTGTCATTGGAAGTAACACAAACAAGCAAATTGAACAACTGCTTGTCAGATGTCGTATAGATAACTGATTTTTTTCAAGTGGGCAAACTAGATGAACTTCAAAAATCCTTTCAACTTGAAAAGCTTTCATTAAGCAGATGAGAAAACTGAGCCTCAGAGAGGGTCAGTTGCCTTGCCTAAAATCACAAGTTGATTCTGGCAAAATTAATATCTTAGTTCTTTTAATTTTTAATCTAAGTTCTCAGAAGGATATCTTCAATTCTGCCTAATTATCTTCTATCTTTCCTTTAATCTCCACCCTTTGTGATTATGGGGCAGGAATACTAAGGTAGACAACTGAATTGTATAGATCAACAAATAAATTCAAAGTGGCTAAATGAGTAGCTCATGCATAGTGTGTCCATGACTAGTGGTTCGCTCAGGATGAGCCCAGTTTACACTTGTCCAGCTCCCCTTTCACTGTGCAAAGTGGCTCAATTTGGACAATATGGTCACCCTACAGTGGACAACCTGGGAGGCCATAACACTTCAGTAATTCCCCAAACGTTGATAGAACTGAGCAGTCGAGTTCACATTACAGCACACACCACTGACTTCATTTTATCTAAACTCAACCTTTTAGCATATAAGCCATCCCTAAAAAGACTCCTTTACGGAATGTCTGTAGCAGACTTTGTGCTTCGTGGAATATTTCACCTGAAACTTTTAAGTACCTTGCAAACACTTGATGTTGCTAAATCCCCACATTTGGAAAGCGCTTTGGAGTTAATAAGATTTCATTTAACTAATAGGCAAAAAAATCAATGTACATATCTGACTTCTGGATTATGCTGAAAGGAATTCAGGAGGTAGAGAAAGTACCCTTAGCTGCCCTACAACAATGATGTCTTAGTTCAGGCTGCTATAACAAAAATGCCATAGACTAGGTGGCTTAAACAACAAACATTTCTCACACTTCTGGAGGCTGTAGAGTCCAAGATCAAGGTCCTAATAGGCTCAGTGTCTGATGAGGGCCTGCTTCTTGGTTCATAGATGAGAGTCTTCTCATTGTTTCATCACATGGAAGAAAAAAGAACAAGAAAACTCTCTGGGGTCCCTTTTATAATCTCATTCATGAGGGATCCACCACCTCCTATAAGGAGTGGGGAGCACACATTCAGTGCATTGCAGTCTGTCCCTGAACACCCCCAAATTAATGGCCTTCTCACAAGCAAAATACATTAATTTCACCTAAAAATTCCAAAAGTCTTAACTCATTCCAACATGAATTCTAAAGTCTAAAGTATTATCAAAATACCATTGACATCAGATATGGGTGAGAGAGCCTTGGACAAAATTTATTTCCAGCTGTGAACCTATGAAGTCAAACAAGTTATGTCCTTCCAAAATAGAAATGGTGAAATAGGCATGGGATAGACATTCTCATTCTAAAAGAAAGAAATAGGAAAGAAGGAAGGAATGACAGGCCCCAGGCAAGTCCAAAACCTGGCAAGGCAAGCTTCATGAGATCTTAAGGTTGGAGAATACAGACGGTCTCCAACTTATGATGGTTGACTCACAATTTTTTGACTTTACAATGGTGCAAATGCAATGCACATTCAGTAGAAACAGTACTTCAAATTTTGAATTTTAATCTTTTCCTTGGGTAGTGATAGGCAGTACCATGCCGGGTGGTGGCACCAAGCCACAGTTCCCAGTGAAGCATTCAATCTTGAGGGTAAACAACCCATACTCTACAGTGTACTTTGTTGCCAGAGTTTTGGGGGACATTGTGCTTTGTGT